CCGGCTCCCAATGGACTGCGGTTTTCGCACACCGCCCCGTTGCCTTGCGGGTCAGGCTTTGGCTAGCCGAAGGCTCCGGTTGTGGATTCCTCAAGAATATTCACCTGCCTTGGCCTGGGCAACCTAGCAGTACTCAACCCACAAGCCAATCATGGAACATTTTTCTTTTTATAAAGATTATTGTACCATGATTTGTTTGGCACACAGTCTGNAGACAAGTGTGAAATACATATATATATATATATATATATATCCCTTATGCATTCGAACAAGTAAACGATGTCGTCAGCGTACCCTAGATCACACAGCTTTTCTTCACCTGCCCATTCAATACCTACATTTTGGAGACTACTTAGTGAGTTCTCCAGTATTTCGTCGATGACGAAATTGAACAGGAACGGCAAAAGAGGGCACCCTTGACGAACACCGCCACTAGTTACGAACGACCTACTCAGCTTGCCGTAGACCCTTACTCTACCAGAAGTATGCGAGTAGAGTGAACTCAGTACGTTCACGTACTTCTGCAGTATGCCTTCGCGAAAGAGAGAACCAATGAGGGATTCGTGATCAACTGAGTCCAAGGGGAAGAGAGAATTCATAAAGATTGGGGTTGCATGCGCGCCACTGTTTGCGAAAATCAGCGTCTCTAACCGCCAGTTACCATGATCTCGGGGTCCCCATCCAGGTTACCCGACGGGACCCATGTGACTCAGTGTCCCAGTTAGGGCTTTCATACTTTCATTCCAGGTCTTTGTTTGACCGCCCTTTTTCCATTCACTACCAGCCTCGGAAAACATCGTTCATTGTGGAAACCTATTTGGTGAGGTGCGCAATACATGTCTCAGTAAGTGTGATCTATGGAGGTCAACTACTTGCTCCGCTACTACCTAAAACTCTACACCTAACCTCAGCATTGCTCGTCCGGTTTCCCCACCAGACTTGTGGAATGCGACCTAGACAGCGGTGTTTGAATACCGACAATCGTATTTTATCCGGTTCCCGTAATGGCTAAGTCTCTGCACCGAATAGCAGCACTGGTCGAATTGCTGCAGCACATATTCGACTCTTCATGGTTAACCGGATGTCGGGACGCACCACAGATGTCTCAAGTTGGCAGAAGCCAACCGAACCTTCCATAAGCGTGCCGACACCCCATCTGTGACGCGTCCGCCAGATGAGATACAGCTGCCCAGATAGCAAAATTAACTACTTCCTCTATTACTTCCCCAGTCAAGGTGAGGTTGGGGGCTGGACCAACCCAACGATAGCATCGCTTACTTGACGCATCAGGGTCTCCGGAAGGACGCAAGTGAAACGCTTGGGTTTGGAAGGAGAGATTAATCAGATAACCGAGGTCAGATTCTCAATAAGTGTTCCGGACAGACAGCACACATCAAACTCTAGAGCTTCGAGCCTAAGGGCAAGAGTTGCTTGTTGTCCTATACGCAGTAGTGTCCTCACATCGAAGGAAGCCAGGTTGAAGGAAGAATGAGGGCGGAGGAATGCAACTGTAGGCTCTGAGTGATAAGGAACTGCTAGGGAGGATAACGGTGAACTAAAACATAAACCTACGTCAAAGGAACCATTTAAGACAGGGGACAGTGAAACAAGGGGAGTCTGAGGTAGGCGTAAACGGAAGTATATATATATATATATAATTACACTGGCTTGTGAACAAGCATAGTGCCAACGCCACAACAATATTAACAGTAACAATAATAGAGTATAGGTGGATAGGGGTACAGAGCAAAGTGGAAAGGGGGTAAAACAGTTAGATACGGGAAAATAGATAACTGGAGTAACAAATTTTTTTCGTTTGTGCTGCATGCACATTTTGAGGAGCAAGTTTCATGACTGAGTACGGAATTCAAAAGCAAATATAATAATATGATTCCATAGTCGGATTGTGGGTTTAATACTATCCGGCTGGTCAGGCCGAAGTAGTGGATTTTCTTCGGGGGCCCTATCCAGTGTATCTGGTTAAATGGCGTGACTCAAAAGGCAACGGGATGGATTGAGGATCCCTTTAGAGCCGGTGACTGGCGGATCAGTACATACGCCTTTCGGATGCCGCCAACTAACCACGGTACCCAGAGTGCCCTTTGCCTGCGAAGATACCTCGTAATATGTCGATTCCTTTCGAAACAATAAATAAAGTACAAGTTGGGAGTGAACCATCTTATTTCATTAACGCAAGTGTGCGGCGAAATAAACAAAATGTTGTTACTCGTTTTTTGGATCCAGTAAAATTGTTAGTTTTCCACATCATTCTCTTCTTACCCCAACCCTATCATTCTATTACTGTTGTTGATGCATGTGGTTATCAGAAATGACAACTGATCAATTGGGCTGGTCACGCATAAGATAAAAACATAGGTTAATATCTAGACAATAAATCATGCGAGTGGCACCACGACGTAAAAAGATATCCACCATAAGATCTCTTCTTTTGACAGATTGAATTAGCATTATGTAGCTTCTAGTACTCACAGGCCTGAAACGCGCGGAATCATTTACTGCTTATTTCATGTTCCCTTCACGTTTTCCGGCAGGTCATAGGCAAACTGCAGTAGATCAATGCCAGTCCCGACCAATTCAAATTTTGTACCGATGGATCCGGTGTTGTCAAACAGTTTGCTACACCCTGTCCAAAACGCAGATGGACTGAAATACTGTTTGTGCAACTGTGCTGTATTGTTTTGAACAAGATTTACATGTAACAGTATTGAAAATCAAAACAAATACGGTAAAAAATTACAATAGTCACATGAAATTCCTATCACTTCTTGATTCCACGATCGCTAACAACGCACTTTGTCTTTTACATAAGGCACTTCTTGGTATTCTGCTAACTGTTTGACTGAGATGACAATAAAGCAGGGAGGAGTCTGTTGAGCTAATGAGATGTCACGTAAAGATAAGCAGAGTAACGGAGGAATAAAAGTAAAACAAAGCAACTGTACATTGGCGTGAAAATAAGAGATATGCTACCTCGTCCATACCGATTGGTTATTCGCATTTGGACGATAAACACAACCAGCATGGGACGCGAAGGAACGGGGTCAGCGGGTTCGAGAAAATGCAAAAAATGAGCACTGAAGAAATGATTGTTCACCGAGTTCACGTCAAGCCAATTGCTGAGGCAATGGTAATGATCGCCAGAAAGGCTAAAACAACGAGAATGATGATGCAGATAATTTTGCGCTGAAAAGACGAAGAAAAATATCGTATAAGTGCAACACCAATAAAAAGGGAGCTCTGCATTTTATACAAATTTGCTTCTACTATAATGAAATTAAATGTGTTTTTACTTCCTTTTTTATTTATTGAATATACAAATGTACAGTCAACTTCCAGGAAGGGGACGCGGCCGTAGGAAAGCTGCCTGGTGGAATACAGAAATGGGGAAGACGGGCAGCTGCTGTGCGGTTAGGAAGTTTTTGTGACCTAATTACTTGGCTACCATCGCATGGAACGTAACACTAGTATCGCTAAATCCAAAGATCAATGTTTCAATAACTAGAAACCTAAACAAGTATGAGAAAACTTAAGCACTTTCGTCTAAATAAGTCAATGCGGAACATCATGGTTTTCGCTGAAAACCAAAATGATTTGGTACTTACCCGGCGACCCTTTTTATTCTGTTGCACCGCGTTGGCTAGTTTTCCTTTGGCTTGCACAACGCAATCCGCCGCTTTATTCACATTGTATTCCACTCGGTCAATTAGTTCGCTCTAAAAAAGCAGATGAGAATCACTTGGCACTGAGCGATGGGGTCAAAAAGAACTCACGAGTCGGCGGAATCTAATGTTTTGCACTTAATTAAGTTGGAGCAAATTTAATTCAATCTGTTCCTCCAAACTAGGTCAAAAAGTAAAAAGCTTCCACCGAAATGCAGTACTTCACGAATATTCAGAATTCCGGTTGAAATATGTGAATTTTAAAGTCGGCATTGTGGTTGATTTTTTAATATTCGATGATATAATAAGAGTACGTTTTATACCGTCAACCCGTACCAAGGTTCATCAGGTTAATTTATAGTCTCATACGAGATCACAAGTGGGCCAGCGCAATACTACTTTTAGTAATGGCCTTACCGCTTAGTAAATGGGAGTGAACGACGATCGATCGCACCAACTAAGAACTGGTTTTGCAACCAGACTGCCTATTTCAGCAGTGCTAGGTCCCATCGTTCATTGACTGTGAGTGACAAACGACTAAAATTTCCAAGTGTGTGCTTTATTCCTACAGTTATGAAGTAAGAAGTGCCTGTCAATGCCATTAAAGCTATCTCAGTCCTTATCCACTTTTCTCATATCTTCAAAGCATTTTTAACAGGACAACCATTAAAAAGTTGCCCAACACACTTTAAATAAGGACTGGCTATCTTGGCTGTACACCATCTCCCGTACTCTAAAACCGGTCCAGCTTATCTGTCGAGCTGTTTGCCTGAGCGCAGCTGCCGATACATGCCTGTTTGCAGTTCGGTAAATGATAGGGATAAAAAGGTGGAATATTCCCCAAGGGACACGAAAGTTTATTAGCTCACAGGCGCTACTCCGATCGGACGATTTTTAGCTCCGTATCTCGTTGTACGATGAGGATTTGTTTCATTTGGCAGGATCCTTTCGTTCTTTCAGTCTTTCATTCCCCGAAAAAAATATATTCTTATTCTCATTTACGCAGAGGGTGAATGAAGTTAGGTGGAAGCAACCCGTACAAGTGCTGTTCTTCATAGCCCTTATTAATTGTGGAACTTTCAGGCTGCAAAC